CTCTTCCAACCGTAAGAATAACAGCAGCAGCAGCAGTAGTCGGTAAGGCCTGCAGATTCGCAGCCTGTCCCGCAGTAGGAGTATAAGATGCCCAGGTGAAAGTAAAATGGCCTTGAAGGCCGTAGCATGTGAGAGGGAAAAATAAAAATTTTCATATGCGGAATTACACATGCAATCAAGAATCATGCTTTATGGCATGTGATGTTACCTTTGTTTGCGAGTTCAAAACTCCAAGACGATCAGTGTTAGGTTTGAAGGGTTCAAACCCTGTAACGTTGATCCACACCACCCACGTCAAGATGCAAGAACGCTTTCTTGAAAGCCACCAATTGACCACCACAGAGAGGCTTGCTATGCGCTCAATAGGTGAAGAATGAGGCTAGGTATATGTGTTTAGAAGAGTGAAGTCTCCAGCATGAAAACTTCACAAGAGTGGGAATGGTATATAGAAGAATTGGCTAGGTTCTTTTGAAAAACCTTAAGGAGGAACTCACCAACTAGGCGCACAAGAGAGGGAGAGAATTAGTATATCAAATCGGAATTTTTACTTTTTTTTTGTAAATAATCGGAATTTTTACTTTACTTATAATGAAAGTGGCGCACAAGTGAGTGAGACAAAGGTGGAGTTGTTGCAATTCAAAAATCCCAACAACCTCCCCTTTGAATCCTCATAAGACTAGGTCTTTATCTAGTCAAAATTCTAAACCAATGGTCATCATATGACCACCAATTCATGCGCCCCTATTCAGCCCAAAAAGGGTCCAGATACATTTGAGCTGTTGCATTCAAGTTTGAACCAACTAGCTCACTGATTCTCTCAACAACCAAATCTGATTGGAGCTTGTTGGTTTGACAAGATGACAATCATCTCCCAAAAAAATGGCGCCCCAAATCAGCCCTTGGAGATCTCCATAGATCTTCTCTTGATACAAGGGATTTGTTCCAACAAGATCTCATCTTATCCTTTTGTTATGAAACAACTTTTCATAGCCAATTCAAATTCGAATTCAAACATTTAAATTCAAACGTTCAAACATTTAAATTCTAAATTCAAATTAAATTTCAAATTCAAATTCAAATTTCAAATTTCAAATTTCAAATTCAAAATTCAAATTCAAATTTCAAAATTCAAAATTCAAATTTCAAATTCAAAATTCAAAATTTAAATATTTGATAATTAATTTAACTAATTAAATTAATTAGTAATGTCTTGGAGCATCCAAGCCCATTAACAATACCATGCGCCCTCTCCCTCTTAGGTGGGCTTCCAAACTTCATCTTGGGCTAACAATCATTATTAGGCCCAATACCTTTAATGCTATATCATCATGACATTAAGGTGTTAGTGTGTGACCCATTAGGTCCAACATAGCCACTGACATAAATGAGCTCGGGCCCAACAAGCCCACAACCCATTTAATGACAACACAGAGCACACTAGCAATGCTTTGTTGCCCTAGAGCTAGTTAGATTAATGACTTGATCATCCTACTACACATATTTGGTTGCTGTATGTATTTCTTTTCGTCTCGGTTACCTTCCTATAAAACCTAGGGTAAGGAAGCGTATCAACCCTTGCGGTTTAGGGTAAGCTTTATTCGAAATAGGGAATCTTCAATTTACTGACTCTAAAGGCAGATCATCTCATGATCTCTTTTACTATGCATAGATTCCCGAGTCCCTATAAATGTCATCCTGATTTCTCCGGTTTACAGATAACCTAATCTCTCACAGAGATTTGACGAATTCCTTCAGCTTATCACCCTAGCCCTGTGCTCTTTCAGGACAAGCCCAACAGTATACCTATGAGTCTCCATGTTTCAGGCAGACGAGGTATACAGTCAAAGCATGGCTTCTAGAACATAGTCTAGGTAATAACTTCTGGTCTAAGGAAAGACATACCCACATATAAAGAGACTACTCTAATGATACTCTCTGTGAGATTTCCTCATAGAGTCTCTTTTGTGGGTCTGATCGGTGCGAGCTATACCCTTATAGATCCACCCACGACTTTAGCTAAGACATCTCCATATTTGTAGCTCATGAGGTCTTTACCTTGCATCCCAATACAAGTAGATAAGTCGTGCTAGTCTTACCCGAGATCACTGATCCCCATTCTCAGTGTCTCTAGACTGGGAACATAAAATTAGGAATAAATATCCAGTATCCTTGAATCCTCATGATCGTGATCTCATCACAGATACTCAAGAGATACCTATTTTATTCCAAGGGGTTTATTCAGTTACTCATATAAAATATTAACAGTAATATTGAGACAAAATATGAAACAGGATAAATAGTGCTTTATTTATTTACGACAATACAAAGGTCCACATATGTCCTAATCTAATTAAAAGATTGTCTCTAGCACATCCATATACTAACACCAGGCCTGCAGATTCACAGCCTGCCCAGCAGCAGATGGACAACTCCTAGCAAAATGGCCAGTCTGACGACACTTGAAACACGCCTCCAGGGCTGCACCACATACACCTTTGTGGTATCTCTTGCACTTCCCACATTGTGGGGTGTAATATCTGTCAACAGCTCCCCCACTCGGGGTTCCACTCCTCTTGAATCGACTAGGAGGCTTCCTTACCTGCATCCCCCTTCCCCTGTTATTATTATGATGGTAACCATCTCTATTATTATTACCAGAAGGACCAGATGTCCTCTTCATTTCTTGCTCTTTTGCCAAATTGGACTTCGGGTATCTCCCATAAACAGTTTCGACCCTCTTACATTGGGTCACAAGATCAGCAAAATTCCTCACTGCCGTATTTGGCATCCTCTTGGCAATATTTTCACTCAGTCCTCTTTGAAACTTAGCAGATAAGAACTCGGTCGTAGGTAGAGTACCTCCATAATTGGCAAACTTGGCCAACTCATTGAATTTAGCCAAGTAAGCATCCACGGTCATCGACCCCTGTACAAGCTTATCAAATTCTCCTTGCTTTGCCTCCCGGATATCTCGGGGAAAGTATTCTTCATGGAATAGACCTTCAAACAAGGCACATGTCAGCTCTTCACCTTGAATAGTAAAAGGGTGAGATGTGTTGCACCACCATTTGTGGGCATCTCCCTCTAACATATACACAGAATACAATAACTTTCTAGGATCCTAGCACCTCATAAACTGGAATATCTTATCCATCCCCCTCAGCTATGTAGTAACCTCATTCGGGTCCTTTGATCCCAGAAATGCGGGTGGTATGTGTTTTCTAAAAGATATGAGCCTTCGCTCATCAGCAACATCATCAACAACTTGCTCAACAGCCCTAGATGTCTGAGCAACAGAAGTCGGGTCAACAGAAGTACGACCTACGTAAGTAGGATTAGTAGTATGGTGGCTAGCCTCACCAGTATGGTGACTAGCCCCACTCTCTCCCTGTTGAGGAGTGACAAACGACGTAGGTGTAGGAGACACCTTAGCCGTATGTGGAGGAGAATCATCCCTCCGATGACGAACTCTATCAGCCCTCATCTTAGTCATGAAGAAATGCAGTCGTCTCCGCCTGCAGAGCATTAAGAACTGCAGTAATCGAATTAGGCGGCTGAGGATCTGCACCTCGTGACACACGTTGACCACGAGCCCTCCTCATGATATCTGTACATGTAACACAAAGCAATGAGCTGATCAGACCCACACTGAGGATTCACATATACATTAATCATAAAGAGTTCACAGATAACTATGAAACACAAAACACAGTCATACATACTCAGAGTTCCCTAAGAAACTGCTCTGATACCATAAAATGTAACAACCCGTTTACGTACCGATAATGTTATCATTGCATATGGTATTAAGCGCAGTTACAATCACATTAATTGAATTAATTAAATTACGGGTAAACTTTTTTCCTTTATTACATCATTAACTTTAAACAATAACCATTTTCGTAACTAATTAAAACAATGTCGTAATTGTGAATGCAAAACTCGCGGAAGCATAAAACATACTAATTATCATCTCTCCAAGCAATACCATTTATTTTAGATTTCAAAACACATTTTCAAAATTTTACACAATGGTAATCGATTACCATTTTTGGGTAATCGATTACCAAAGGCTCCAGAATGAGACAATAGCCAATTTTGGGCTCCCATGTTTTGGTAATCAATTACCAATCTTTTGGTAAATGATTACTGAACTAGGTAATTGATTACTGATGAAAAGTAATCGATTACTTATAACACAGTGGCTCAATTTTGCGCCCCCTGTTTTAGGTAATCGATTACCAAAGAAAAGTAATCGATTACCCTTCTGTAAAAAAGACAGATGACAGCTTTTAAATACCAAAAAGGGTGATGTAATCCACTCCTAACACTTCACTGCCCAAGATACAACTTACACAAGATCTAATGTAGGCTCTAGGCCCTTCCATCATGCATATTCATTAATCAATGCATCATTTACAGTATTTCACAATTCCATTGCCATTTAAACCTCTGTAACATCTCGCAAAATTAGAAATTACATAACTTGCAATTAGGAATGCGAAGCATGCTTGAAATTCGAATTAAATTTGTGAATAGAGTGGAATTGATTTAAGTAGGAAAATTATTTTATGTTGATGATATAAGTGAGTATATGTGTGTACTTTAAAAGATTCAAGATACTAGTTAAGAAAGAATAGTATTAAGTTAATTATAATTTATTTAGAAACCCTAGTCACTAAGTAGTGGGAACATGAAATAATAATTAATATATATATATATATATATATATATATATATATATATATATATTTCAAGTGATAAGTGAACCACGAGTCTATCCCTCACAAAATCTGTATACTTGTCATGGATTGGTCAAAAAGTGGCCACATGGCAATACTATCTATCTTTACTTCACCACCCCTTGCACCCAATAAAATGAGAGAAATCTATTTGCATGTATTCCTATTGGTCCAAGGCAAACTCCATCTATCCTACCCTTTCCTTGTGCGCCTAGGGTAAGGAAACAAATCTGAATTTTTCCAACTCTTTTGATCCAGAATTTTGGTCCAGCATTATCTTCTCTTCATTCCTCCCTATGCGTTGAACTATGGAATCCAAGGCTGAATAATTATCACTTGTATACTTGGACCAGAATTGAAACCAACACCACCTTTTCCCTCACAACCGAACGTCCTCCCAATGGACCACTCAAACCATGTTTGCGTCCTTCCCACATCATCCCTCTCCTCAAACCGTGAATACCATGAGAAAACCATGAAGTACCTTAGCAGCTTTTCCTTCTCTCACTGTTCGGCTGAACTTCCACCGCCAAGGGGGGTAATGTGTCCTCTCCGTCTTAGATTCTCCTACTCTGTTTCGGCTTGGGTGGAGAACTTCTCTTGCATGCAGCTGAAGGCGCGGTTTCTTACCAGGAAAATCATCACCCTAAGTTCTGCACTATCATCTCTTTACATGCAAAAACAAGTAAGCCTTTTCCTACATTCTTTATTCTGGTTTCAGCGCATGAGATGTTTGAGTGAACTGTTCCTTGTCTTATTTCTGTTTTAATTCCTTGGCATGGTGAGAGGCGATGTTGACGCTCATAGGTTTGGGGACTGTTTTCTGCAACTATTTTAAGAGAGCAACCTGGTTGCGAGCGAGAAGGTACCAACGTAAGTAAAGCCCTTATATTTTTCTCCTCTGTTTCGGGTTGCTTGGGTGATATAGGAAGTTAGCTTTCTGGCATTCCTTTACTTGTTATTCAGCCACCGAACCTTGTCTATTAATGCATGCAAACTTAAAGATTGAATTTTGAAGCTTGAAATATGTTCCCCTTAATAGTGTTAGATCTGGTGATATTTGGTGAAACCTTGCTTGTATTAAATTTGTCCTATGAACAGTGCAAGAATTTGATACATTCAAACCAAAACTGAATTTTGTGAGAATTGGAAATAGTTCACTTAATGGTCGAACAGCCTATTGGATTGGAGAATCCTATTAGGCTTTGTATGCGTTTATATGTTTATGGGTAGCTTTGGGTACGGTCTTGTTATCACACTCCTATGACTGCAAGACATGTTATGCTAAAATAAAAATACAAGCCTTGGTAATACTCATAGAACCGAGTGTATTCAAGTAAGAGTAAAGCATATATCAAACCCTTATTGCTCCTTAATTGTTCGGCCACTACAAGTATAATAGGAGGATTATTTTTGTTGACCCTTTTCCTCCCCGAATTCTGTCATTTGGTACAGCCTAAGGATTTGATGCATGTGAACCTAAACCAAAAATTTATGAACTTGGAAATAGCCTCATTGAAATGTTGGACTGTCCTTTTAGTTAGAAAGATAATTATGCAGCCCTGCATGTTTTAATCTTGTATGAACAGCCTTGAGATTGATACTTGTAAGTCGAAATTGATGTTTTGGGAGCTTGAAAATAGCTCCATTAATTTTGTTGGACTGTTTTATGAATTAGAAGAATTAATTGAACCTGGCGTGTGTTATAATTGTGGTAGGCAGCCTGCTTGAAGATATTGGTTCTTGACTAAGAACCGATTTGTGGGGCTGTTGGTTGAAGTAGAATAATGTATCTAGCCTTACCCATGTACTGACTAAGTAGACAGCATACGTTAGTCCTAATTAGCGCACCTTAAACCGTGTAGATGATATTGTGTAAATGATAAATTGTGGCACCCAATTAATGGACCAGAATTCCAACCTACATGCATGGAAGCCCATGGTTATGTCACTGTCATCGATTGGTAAAAGAAGCTCTAAGTCAAAATAATTAAATTAGAACAAGAACCATGAAAACCGATTTGATTCAAGCATTGCATGTGTTGATAACTCATGTAGACAGCGGTAAAAAAATCCTATTAGCTCATGTATAAGTGATGTAGGTGGAGTTTTGTTAAAGAGAAATTATAAGCACCTAGGGTGGATGAAAACCGAGCTTACATGCATTACAAACTTTGGTGATGCCACATGATAACATGTGGTAAGGTAACCTTAAGTCAGAATACGAATTCAGTCACAAACCATGGAACCGATTATAAATCAATGATTTAGGAGAATGGAAAAACTATGTAATGTATAGGAAAATTATGTCATCAATTTTGAATGGAACCTAGTGTTTTGTAAATAAATAAAGTAAAGAAATTATGTTTGGTACTTTTGATTAGGTTCATAAACCTCAAGGATGTTGGACGGACTTGGGGCTGTTTTGATTAGAAAGCTAAAGTATCAGGCAAGTGTTTGGTGGTGAGACCTATTGTGACTATTAGCTAGTGTATGTAATTGTGAATTGTTGCTCGCATATGCCTTGGATGCGTACTCTGTTAAATGTTATATGTATTATGCCTATGGACTTGATATGATGGAACTTCTGTTATGAGAAGTACTTGTTTTGCGGCAGTTTGGTATTAAAAGTACATGAAGTATATGCTATTATGATGATGATCTAGTCATGCATAAATACATCATAATTCATCCGTTTCTTTTTGTGTGTGCGAAGCATATCATGGCATACAACGTGTGCATCCAGTTTGGAAACCGAATTATAATATAAGTAAGCATATGAATGAGCACGTATCATATAGGCATCTCTCCGGTACCAGGGTATGGGACACTTGGCTTCCGTCCGCATAGGACACAGTTGGAATTCACCACTGAGGGAGCCAATATGGACTCTCCACTGTGTATGTTAGTACGTGCACTGCAGTGTTATGAACGTACATTACCAGGGCGTTATATACGCACTCTGATGACTATGGCGTTATACACGCATCTTGATTAAGTATTATGGCGTTATATACGCACTATGATTATATGTTAGCATATGTCCGAAAAATTATATGTTGATGCGACTAATTTGGAATTTTGTACCTAGTCTAATATTGTGGCAATATTGGTTTTACTATCACACTACTAGGATTTTTCTCACCCCTTTTGGGGCTCAATTTTTATAAATTGCAGGGAGACGTAGATGCATTAATGAAGTATTTGATTTGGACATGATTTCGTTAAACTGCTGCTGTCTTGGGAATCCTTATGTGTGCATGTTGTTTCTGCTGATTGTTGGCTGATCACTTTAGGCTGATGTAGTATTTTTAGATGTCGGAAAAATGTTTGAACATGCTCTAATTTGCTGTATTTGGATTTTATGGTCCGTTTGTAATGCATGATATGCTGGTTATATTTTGCAAAAATATTTAATGTACGATTTGAATTCTCCCTTTTAAACTGATTTTGCGAGCACTTTCCAAGTTCAATTTCTGGGGCTACAGACCTCCAATTGGGGTATAATTTATATGTACTTAAAGCCCCAGATGTCTAGTTTCATGTTATATAAAGTTTATGTCCGCAGCATGTAAGCATGAATTTAAACGATTTTCACAAGTTAGGAGGTTTTGGAAAAATACACTGATTTATCTTGCACTTTGCGAGTTCTGCTTCGGGAGCTAAACTCCTCCGAACGAAATAAATTTTATATGCACGTAAAGCCCCGGATGTCTAGTTTTCTTGTGTCAAAGAAGATTTTTTTAACTTGTTATGTTCGAATTGTTATGATTTTTGCAAGATAGCAAGGTTTTCTGGAAAACTGCCATTTCCGCAAGCTATGTATTTTAACAAGTTCCACTCTGATTTTTTTTACATCCGGATTTCAAGTAAAGATAATGTATTGTGAGTTAAACGTGCAGTTTAATTATTCAATTCTATTCCATTACGACTCTAATCCGCTCAGACCAGGTCTGAGGGTTAACCAAATGAAAGTAAACTATCAGTGTGAAGAATTAAACGAGAGAGTATAATGAATTGACTTATATGTAATAGGGTATATTATACCACTACTAATATTATTATTAGGGGTAGCCCCATGTGAATATACCTAAGATATTTTGCCGTTATATACGGATGTGATACAGACACCAAATGGACTGGGTCCATGCGTGATCTGGAGTGTACTGGGTGCACGTTTGCTGTTATATACAGATAAGTTATAGAAATATACATTCCTCTGTGCACTGGGTGCATGTAATACGACTTAATAATGTGGATATCTCTGTGCGGCTTATGTGCCCGAAGTGTGTAGCTATCTCCGTGCGGATTATGTTCCCGGAGACTACTATTATTTTATATGAGTAATATGAGACGAGGAAGTATCTCGCATTGATGAGACTGCTAGTATAGTTGAGGTGTTTGATGTAAGTGCACAAATAAGAAACATTTGGGGGATGATCCTAGTACGGGGGCAGCTGGTGGTAGGTTGCCTATTACTGCGTGAATCATGAGGGCAGATTCTCTGATCGGGGGGTCATTTACATCTGAGGCCCTTAGGACAGCAAGAGCTCGAGGGGTTTGACCTGGGGATATTTTACCCACTGTATTAGGAGGATCGTGTCGTGTGAAGAACACATGATATGATATCAGATAAGTCTTAGTGGATAGTAATATACCAGATGGGATATAATATGTGAGGCGTCATGAGAAGGTATTTGAGGTATGGTTCTGAGCATTAGGGGGTCTGTATATGTGTGTACCAAGTGTGGGATATGGATTTTGGATTTTGGATTTCACGGAAATTGTGAAGTGATCGAGGGGTCCGTCCGTACCCTATGAGAAAGGATGGAACTGTTGATACAGATAATTGAGTAAATGTTTTGCTAGGAGGACTAGTGAGGAAAAAACGTGCAGTTAAGATGGTGGCTTGATGGCCTTTCGTAAGAAGTTAGTTATGATGGAATTAGGTGGAAATGCTAATAAGGACCAGTGACTTAAATTTTAGTGATTCAAGAAAGGTTGATAACTCAATGGAGTGATTTGGAGCACGGTATGCAATACATGCTAAGTGAGAGAGATATATCTTTGGGAAATACACGGTATTGGTAAAAAATTTGAATTTGTTTAAGGATGAAAGTAGTGCCAGGTGATAGAACGAATGTATTCGGAGATTATCAATATGGGGAGACTTATATGCGAGGATTATGATATAGTATTTGTAACATCCTGCAAAATTAGGAAATTACATAACTTACAATTAGGGATGTGAAATATGATTGAAATTTCGAATTATATTCGTGAAGAATGGGATTAATTTAAGTAGGAAAATTATTTTGTTGTTATTATAAGTGAGCATATGTGAAATATTTTAAAAGATTCAGGACACTAGTAAAAAGGGGTAGAATTACAAATTAAATATAAGATAGGTAGTAACTTTAATTATTAATTAGTGAGTATATGAAATTACATACATTAAAATATATACATAAATAATATGTACATATTTCATGTGATAAGTGAACCTAAATAATCCCTCACAAAATCTCTATACTTGCCATGGATTGGTCAAAGGGTGGCCACATGGCAATACCTCTCAATCTTTACTTCACCACCCCTTTGCACCAATAAGAAGAGAGAACTCTTTTTGCATGAATGCCCATTGGCCATGGCAGCCACATCACCTCTAGCACCCAATGAAGACAAAGGGCAATCCTACTTTTCTTGTACCCTTGGATCAGATTTATGACAATCTCTTCTCATCTATGCGCAACATAAAGGAGAAATATGCTGAACTCTTTTCTGATTCCTTTTGAATTAAACTCAGCCTCCACATTGTCTTCTTGTTTCTATGCGCATAACTAAGGATCAACCAAGACCGTGGGGTGCTCTTCCTTGATTCAGATTTATCTTAGTTTTCCTCATGCACTCCCTCACAACCGTCAGCCTTTAGTGATAGAATTCAAAGAAAGAAAGTCACCTCAATTTCATTCCCCACACAAAAACCGTGAGCCTCTTGGAAGGAGAACTAAAGCTTTGAAGCACCACCTCTTATTTCCCTTCTTTGTTCGACTGCCTCCCTACAACCAGGGAGCTGGGAGTTCGATCTTTGACAAGGAAAATGACCATTCTAAGTCCTGGCCTATTCTTCCATTGCATGCAAGACCAAGTGAGCAATTCCTATCATTTTTGCCTTCTGAGTTCGGCGCAGGAGAGGAGCAGTGAGCTGTGCATGATGCTATTTTTTTGTAGAGTAAACACCCTTTTTAGTCCCTGTCAATATCTACGAAGTCTTTTTTAGTCCCTGACAATAAAAAAGGACCAAATTGGTCCCTGAAATTATAAAAAAAGGGCCATGTTAGTCCTTATGTCAACTCCCAAATATGTAGAGTGACCCTTTTCTTGTACTTTCAGGGACCAATTTAGTCTTTTTTTATTGCCAGGTACTGAAAAGGACTTCGTAGATATTGCCAGGGACTAAAAATGGTGTTTACTCTTTTTTGTATTAATTATTTGGACAGTGGGAATGCAAGGGTACTGCCTTCCGTTGAGTGATGCGTATGGGCAGATTTGAGAATGAATTGGATAACTCCTAAAGCGGTGAGCCTGAGTCTTGGAGGGGAGGCGTTGAGATTTTTTTGAGCCAAACTAGTGGCTGTTTCCTTGGTTGAGTGGTTAGCTTGTGATCTATACACAAGAAGGTAAAGACCCAGTTTCAAGCCCCTCTCTTCATTTTAATTTCGGACTGCATGTGTGACTTTGAGAGATTAAACTTTGTTATTTACATTTCTTTGCTGCTGCTCATTTGAACAACCTTGAGACTTTTGGTATAGGCAAGCTTAAATAAATTTTAGTGAGCTTGGGAAGTAGGCCTTTGTTATGCGTTGGGGCTGCCCTTATGAAGCAGTATCATAATCTAGCCATGCTAGTTTTTTTGGTTGTGAAGTCAGCAGGTTGTAACTTAATTGGTTGGAACATAGTGAATTAATAGAGTTTGTTAAAATGAATTGGAGAGGACATAGTTAATGAAACGCACCTTGGATAGGCTAAACTAATTAGACATCTTGATTTAGCCTCCTTAGTACCCCTTAAACCGTGTAGGGTGTTTTATATAAGTGATAGATTTTATTTCGCATCTATGTATGATGAAAACAGAACCTAGGTGTATAAGAAGTTGTGAGTTTTGGCAAGTATGTAACTAAAAGTTTGAACACCCTTATTGCTCCTTAATGGTTCGGCAACTACAAGCCTAATAGGAGGATTATTTTGTTGGCCTTTTTCCTTCCGAATTCTGTCATTTGGTACAGCCTAAGAAATTGATGTATGTGAACTTAAACCGAAAATTTATGAGCTTGGAAAATAACTCTAGAGTAAAATTATTGGACTGTTTTGTAGGTTTATATTGTATGCTTAGTTTTACATGTGGTAAATTAAATTGGATAGCATGATAAAACACCAAGATAGAGCCCCCTTAGTCATGAAAGCCATGTGTTGTAATGGAAAATTTTAAATCCTTAGTTGATGGCTCAAAACCGTACCTACATGACTTAGAAACATTGAATTCTTATTGTTTGCTAACATTGGTAAAATTAATGGCAAGTCAGAAGTTTATGTAGGCAGAGAATTATGAACCTCATTGTGAATCAAATCTTACATATGTTAAATCTGTATAAACCACTTGCTAGAGACTTGTTCACTCACACTGCCTTGTAGAAAACGTTATGTAAATAAATTAAATTGTACACCGTTGCTGGCAAAAAACCGAACCTTCATGAATAGGCCTTGGAATTTTGTTGTCACTAGCTAGCAATTGATGGTATATTTTGTTAATCGATAAATTCAGAAGCACCTAGTAATGAATAAAACCGAATTTGTGTATATTAGGAATTGTGGATTTTGATTATTCTCCTCGCTGTCTATTGGTGGAACAATCCCCATGTTAGAAAAATTAGCGTAAAAGTCATGAAATCCAGTTGAATCAAGCTTTACATGTGTTAGAACTATTTGGACAGCTCTTGTATTACCCTTCCTAAATTATGTAGAGATGTTATGTGAATGGAAAAACAAAGACACCTAACTAATGGTAAAGACAACCGAATTAAATGCTTAGGGATTTATATCTATGTCAATTGTTAATCTTTGGCAAAACTAATGTTAAAACAGAAAATTAAATAACATGGATGCATGGTAAATTGGTTAGAAGCCTTGAATGGAAAGCATGGAAAGTACATTTATTTTATTGGAGCAGTAGATGCGAATTCTGATTTTTGGTACCTAATGTTTAGGTGTGCTAACCTCTAATTGTGTGGGCTGATTAGTGATGTTTTGATAAAGGAATGTTAAAGACTTGAGGTATGTGTTAGGTGGTATTACCTAATGTGACTATTAGCTAGTGTATGAGATTGTGATTTGTTGCTCACATATGTTCAATGTTATTTTATGATGATGATGACGAGGCAATGGTAAGAATAAGAAATGATGATAATGATATATGCATGCATTTTTACATCATGATGCATTTTTCTGTTTGGTGTGTGACCGCATTTCATGGCATGTATACAATAGATTCATGTAGGCTTTGAAATGTAGAATAGTTATGTACAGGATCATGTGTATGAGCACGCATCATATAGGCATCCCTTGATATCAGGGTACTGGGACAGTTGGCGCCAGTCCGCATAGGCCACAGTGGAATTCCCCAAATGATGGTGTCGTGCATGGAATTTCCACTGTGTATGCACGCGCACGACGGTGCTATGAGCGTGAAGAAGGCGTTATATACGCAATATGATATATGATGAAAAGGAACTATGCTGAAAAGGATTTAATGTTTGTAGCGACTGTTTATAATTTTGTGCCTAGTTTAATACTGTTGCATTATTTGTTTTTTTGCCACACTACTGGGATTTTTCTCACCCCTTTGGTGCTGCTATTTTTATAAAATGGCAGGAGGACAGAAGAGCATTTGAAGACATGTTTAATTGGATATTTGCTGTTATTTGCTGCTGTATGGACTATTGTTGTTGCTGATGTTTGATGGATGACTGTATTCAATTGAGTAGCTTGAATTACAGTTGGATTATGATTTTGTTTCTGTTTTTAAGACCTTTATGATCAGTTGGTAACATTGGAAAAATTCTGAAATGTGTGCGAAAGTAATCTCCGAACATTTTATTATATGCTGATTTTTAAACGGATTTGCGAGCACTTTGCGAGTTGTCGTTCTGGGGCTACGGACCTCCGATTGAGGTATATATTATATGGGTGCAAAGCCCCAGCTGTGTACTTTCAGATTATGTAACACTTACAATGAAATTTTGAAAAATCGAATTATTATAAATTTTACCAGTCAGGAGGATTTTGGAAAATACACTGAATTTTTGAGGAACTTGCGAGTTCTGTTTCGTGGGGCTAGAGACCTCTGATTCGCGTATAATTTATATGTATGCGAAGCCCCAGATGTCTAGTTTCTTAGTAGGAAAGAAGATTTTTGTAAATTTTTGTACTCGATTTTTTTGATAATATTTTCAAGACAGATCGTTTTCGGGAAAAATCAGAGTTTCGCAGCGAAAGCCTTTTTGAATTTTCTTGCTGTTTTATTTCTCCAAGTCAGTGTCTAAGCAAGCTTTTCTAATTGATATTAAATGAAAAAGTTTTTACTAAACGAGAATTTCACACGTTAACTTTAAGTCTCTAATCCGCTTAGCAAACAACTCTCTTGGATGCATACAAGGGAGGGTGTTACAGTATTTTAAGTGGAACATCTATGGGAAAATGTCAATAATGAGGAAATGAAGGTATAAATGAATGAAAAGATGTTGAATCTATAACAGTGTTACAGAATGATGAGTAGAAAGGGTTAATTGCTAAAAATATTAGTAGGCCTTTGATACGGAAGGCAATGAAGGATGTTGAGTTTAAGACATGAGAGGGCTAAGTTGATAGAGTGTAAATGGTTAAGTGATAAATAGATTAATAGGGAGTGTAAATTATAAATTTGATGTTGTAGATGGAGAGATTCATGAATAGAATTGTGGGTGAAGACCTTGGAATAAATGATAGGGAGTATGAGCTGTTATGAAGATAGTTAGTTTCGTATCACTAGGAGAAAATATAGTTATGATTATCTAAGAAGAGGTGGAGACACGGACAAAGTAAAGAAAAGTATATAAAAATGGAATTTATGGGAGTTGGGATCGTTGGTCACTGTAGAGTGTCATTGGTACTAGAAGGCATGCGCTTGTGTGTAAGCTAAGGAAACAATGAAATGGTAAGATTAGTAACATAAATGGAAAGGACTAATATTGGAGGCAGTGTTGAAACAGTGGGGACAACGAAAAGATTGAAGTATCAAAGAAGGTGTGAGTTGGAAACATTCCAGGAATAATCAGTAAGTATACATAAGAACGATTAGAGTCTATTATAGATATGGTTAAATGCTTTTGGGAACGACACTGGGTCAGAAAGATAGATAAAGATGAGAATGAGATGAAGTGAGATAGACAAATTGTAATGTGGTTATATATTACCTATAAATTAGTGAAAGTGCAACCGTAAACCATGAAAAGCTTAAAGTATTGTGAATTAAAGGTTGTGGCACCATAAGTTACAAGATTGTAAAAGGGGTATATTATAAACTACAATTAACGAAAATGCAACAGTGGTTTATGGAAATAGTGAAAATATAATGAATTAAGAGGCCAGATCCCCGAAATTATCAAGTTTGTGAAGGATTGGGTAACGATGGATACCACGAAAAATGAGGTTATGCCCGTGACGAATGCAAAATAGTAAATATGCACGTCTAAGGAGGCTAGTAGAGAGTGGAAAGATGAGATTCTCTGATTACACCCTGTGTTACGGGATCGTTAGGATGTTAATTTTGCAGACAAAATTCTAAAAGGTGGGGTGATTATAACACCTCGCAATTATAAATTAAATATTAAAATATTAAATGAGTATTTAAGTGAAGGATTAGTGAAAATCCTAAAGATTAGGCCAAAATACAAAGAAAGGGCAAAACGGTAATTAGCCAACACGCAACCCTAGGCAGATAAAAATTGAGTTGGAGACCTCAAATGACAAAAATAATGCCGGAAACGGACTCAGGATGAAAAATCGAGTGGATAGGCAAATTTGAGAAAAATTGATGAATAGTGATTTTTCTGGTGTAAAATACTGCAGTATAATTGTACCGATAAGCGTAAATTGTGTAGATCAAAATCATGAACCCTAAGTCTTAAATTGTTGATGTGTGATGTTAGAGAGCTCAAATAGAAAATGTGCATTAGATGATAATGTCTTAGAATAATGTGTATTAGCTATAAATGTAATGAAAATTTTAGGTGAAAAATATGATTTTGTAACTTAGAAAATTTTGAGGCGTCCTGACTTGAACTTGGAAAATGTGTTAGGATTTTAGTGGTGAGTTGTTGGATGATTATATGTGGATATAATGGTATTGTGTGAAGCGTGGAAGGGTTGAAAATTGAAGGAAATCCCATGGTATTACATAGGTCACAATTCGGCCATTTACAGAGTTTTAGGAATTTGATGTTGTTTGTATTGATTGGATGATGTTTCAAGTGTTGAATGGTGTTTAAATGGGTTGTGTGGTGGTTGGAAAGTGGAAGAATCAATGAAAAATAATAAATGGTGTTAAGGGTCGTAAAGGATCCTAGAATGAATTATTAAGCAAAACAATGTTTAAAAGACGTAAAATGGAAAAACGGCACATGATTTAGCCTTTGGGCAACCTAAGGATGTATAATAAAATGAGAAAGAAAATTTAGAAAAATAAATTGTCAATTAAGCCTAAGAAGGCCGAAGTTACAAGGGTGTAGGGGGTGATTTTGACGTTTTTCGCGTTTTGATGGAATTGCCGTGTGCTGACGATTAGTACATGGATATGTAGGTTGCCGTACGTCGATTTGAACCCCGCACTGTGAGTCAGTGGATTGCCCTTTGTCCCAGACCAAGTGGATTGAGGTGAGTGATTGGATCAATGCATGTATAATTGTAAATTGGCATGTGTTGTATTAGTTTTTGAGTAATTAGGAATGTCCTTTGTGTAGGCATTCTGTTGAATGACAAGTTTGGAAAATAAGCTGTTGTGGAGCTAAGTGGAGGAACATATTGAGGTAACCTCTTGGTACTGGGGCTTTGTTAGTATATGGATGTCCTAGAGACAATCTTTTAATTAGATTAGGACATATGTGGATCTTTGTATTGTCGCAAATAAATAAAAGCACTATTTATCCTGTTTCATATTTTGCCTCAATATTACTGTTAATATTTTATATGAGTAACTGGATAAACCCCTTGGAATAAAATAGGTATCTCTTGAGTATCTGTGATGAGATCACGATCATGAGGATTCAAGGATACTGGATATTTATTCCTGATTTTATGTTCCTAGTCTAGAGACACTGAGAATGGGGATCAGTGATCTCGGGTAAGACTAGCACGACTTATCTACCTGTATTCGGATGCAAGGTAAAGACGTCATGAGCTACAGATATAGAGTTGTCTTAGCTAAAGTCGTGGGTGGATCTGTAAGGGTATAGCTCGCACTGAACAGACCCACAAAAGAGACTCTATGAGAAAATCTCACAGAGAGTATCTAGTCTCTTTATATTTGGGTATGTCTTTCCTTAGACTGGAAGTTATTACCTAGACTGTGTTCTAGAAGGCATGCTTTGACTGTATACCTCGTCTGCCTGAAACATGTAGACTCATAGGTATACTGTTGGGATTGTCCTGAAAGAGCACAGGGCTAGGTGATGAGCTAAAGGGTTCGTCAAATCTCTGTGAGAGATTAGGTTATCTGTAAACCGAAGAAATCGGGATGACATTTACAGGGACTCGGGAATCTATGCATAGTAAAAGAGATCATGAGATGATCTGCCTTTAGAGTCAGTAAATTGAAGATTCCCTATTTCGAATAAAGCTTACCCTAAACCGCAAGGGTTGATACGCTTCCTTACCCTAGGTTTTATGGGAAGGTAACCGAGACGAAAAGAAATACATACGGCAACCAAATATGTGTAATAGGATGACCTAGTCATTAATCTAACTAGCTCTGGGGCAACAAAGCATTGCTAGTGCTCTGTGTTGTCATTAAATGGTTGTGGGCTTGTTGGGCCCGAGCCCATTTATGTCAGTGGCTATGTTGGACTTAATGGGTCACACACTAACACCTTAATGTCATGATGATATAGCATTAAAGGTATTGGGCCTAATAATGGTTGTTAGCCCAAGATGAAGTTTGGAAGCCCACCTAAGAGGGAGAGGGCGCATGGTATTGTTAATGGGCTTGGATGATCCAAGACATTACTAATTAATTTAATTAGTTAAATTAATTATCAAATATTGAAATTTTGAATTTTGAATTTGAAATTGGAATTTTGAAATTTGAATTTTGAAATTTGAATTTTGAATTTGAATTTTGAAATTTGAATTTTGAATTTGAATTTTGAAATTTGAATTTTGAATTTGAAATTTGAATTTGAATTTAAAATTTGAATTTGAATTTATAATTTAAATGTTTGAACGTTTGAATTTAAATGTTTGAATTCGAATTTGGATGGTAGGAAATATGTATGAGTAGTGTAGAATAACATGAGCATGCATGTAGTATTTATGAGGGTACTTATGTACCGAGTCTATGGCCAGTAGACTGTGTAGCCTTCGGGCAGTGTGGACTTCCACTGGATAGGTCACAGAGAGGGAGTTCCAGTTGACCTAGGGTCGTCGTGTGTCATCCGGATAGGAGCACACTAGAAAGTCTCGGGTGTATGTGGATGGGAGGGGTACCTTGGCTGATGTTCTAGGAACACGCCTTGGATGAGACCCATAGGCTTATATGCCGAGGACATTGTGTGGTATTGGTAGCTACCATTCCAGCTTCGTCGTATTTTATATCCCGATATTTCCCAGTTTCTCTAAATCCCTTGCTATATCCCGTTTTGAAAGTGGTTGTTCTATATTATTTATATGCATCAAAGTGAGCCATTGGGCAGAGTTTTCTCCAGAACCTCTGGGTTACTGAGATATATTCGAATATCTCACCCCGTCTTGGGGGCTTTATTTCAGGAGGTTGCAGTGGCAGTGGAGCGGCGGGCAAGAAGCCCGCAGGATGACTAGTCGGAGCACTTTTACTATTTTGCATTTTGTTGGCCATGTGGCCTAGGCTAGACTTAGGGCATGAACATCCCATATGTATGTAGGATGAGTTTCATA